CTGCTTGTTTTGAGAGGCAGTCCACTACCACAAGGATGGTGGAGTAGCCATTGGAGTTGGGGAGGTGTTCAATGAAGTCCATGGAGATGGAGTTCCAAGGTCTCTCTGGGATGGGGAGTTGCTTCAGTAGACCATAGGGGTGGTGCTGTGGAGTTTTGTTCTGTTCACAGGCAATGCAGGACCTGACATATTCTTTCACATTGGAGTGGAGGTTAGGCCACACATAGTCCCTGTGGACAAGTTCTATGGTGTGGTTTTGCCCAAAATGGCCTGCTAAAGGATGGTCATGCTTGAACCAAAGCACTTGAAGGTGGAGGTCATCAATGTCAGGGACAAAGATGCAACCATCAAGGCAGAGTAGACTGTTGGAGTCTAGGGACCACTGAGGCTTAGTTGGAGTTGGAAGATGGCTGGTGGAGACAGGGTTGGATGGTAGGGTGGAGATGATGTCAGAATGCAAGCACTCAACATTGAAGACCATGGTGGTGTGGAGCACAGGTGCCATGAGGGTGGTGGTATGGAGGGATGATGTGAGTTGTTCCTGTGTAAACATAGGGCAGAGATTGTGAGGATTTACCTGTGCATAGTCCCTATCCCCCCCTTTTGGGTAGATGTCCCAACATTGTGTAAGTGTGTTAGGTTTGGCTCTCAGGTGGCCAGGTTGGAAGCAGATGGAAAGGTTAAACTGTGAAAGGTACTCTGACCAGTGGGCCTGTTGACGAGTGAGGACCTCAGAGGTGGAGAAGTACTTGAGGTTTTTGTGGTCCATCACCATGTTGACAGGTAAGGTGGAACCTTTGAGGTAATGCTGCCAGTGGTGGAAGGCCTTGAAGACAGCCAGCAGCTCCTTGTTGTGGGTATCATAGTTGAGTTCTGGCATGGTCATGGTGTGGGAGTAGAAAGCAACTGGGCAGAGTTCACCATTGGAGCAGGTGGTCAACAGAATACCAGCAACAGCATAGTTGGAGGCATCAGTTTCCACTGTGAGTGGAGTGTCAGGAACCCAGTGAGTGAGAACAGGAGCAGAGCTGAAGGCATCCTTTAGGTGGAGGAAAGTGGAGTGGCACTCCTCAGAAAAGTTCCAAGGAGCACCCTTTTGTGTGAGGTGAGTGAGTGGAACAACAATGTCAGAGTAGTTATTAATGAATCATCTGTAGACATTTGTGAAGCCAAGGAAAGACTGGATGTCTCACACCTTCTACAGCTCAGGCCAGTCATGGACTGTCTGAACCTTCCCAGCAGACATGGTGAGACCAGAGAGAGAAAGAACATAACCAAGGTACTCAATGGAGTCAGAATGAAACTTGCACTTCTCTGGCTTGGCATAGAGACCATGCTTTCAAAGGCAGTGGAATACCTCTTTTATGTGTTTGCGATGTGACTCCATGTCCTGCAAATAAACTAGGATGTCATTGAGGTATACCATGATGCAGATATTGAGCATGTCTGCAAAGATGCTATTAATGAATCACTGGAAAGCCACAGGCACATTAGTCAGACTGAATGGCATTACCCACCACTCATAAGAACCATAATGAGTGCAGAAAGCCATTTTCCATTCATCTCCATCTGTGATGTGGACTAGATGATAGGCATGGCAGAGGTTGATCTTGGTGTAGACTTTAGTGTGGCTTGGAGAGTTGAGTAGGTTGGAGATGAGTGGCAGCAGATAGCAATCTTTTTTCATGATTTTGTTGAGTCCTTGATAGTCTACACAGAGGCAGAGTGAACTGTCCTTCTTCTTTATGAAGAGGACAGGGGCACCATGAGTGGAGGTGGACTGCTTGATGAAACCATAACCAAGATGCTTGTCAATGAAGGTGCAGAGAGCTTCAAGCTCTGGCAGAGACAGAGAGTAAATCATGCCAATGGGTGGAGAAGCTCCTTCCTCAAGGTTGATCTTGAGATCAAATGAGTGGTGTGGCAGAAGTTCAATAGCCTTGTCTTTACTAAAGATGTCAGCAAACTCATGATACTCAGGAGGGACCAAGGAGAGGTCAGGAGGCAGAGAAGAAGTGGAGGACACATGAAGCTTCACATCATCAGCAGAGAGCTGCAGGCAGAACTGTCTAGAGCCAGGGAGAGCACAGGCTCTGACATATGCAGCAGCATTGATGAGTGAGAGAAGCAGAGCAGAGTGTGGCAAGTTTGTCAGAGGTGCAGTTGGAGCTGCAGATGGAGTGGAGGTCACAGCAGAAGGTGACAAAGGCACCTGGGGTGTCAGCATTCCCTGTAACAATGGTTTAAATGATATACTGCCCAGTACCCAGTCAATCAATGGATTGAAGCAGGTGAGCCAGTTGTGTCCTAATATCAATGAACATGAAGAATCAAATGGAGTAACATAAGACAAAATGGAGTTGACATTGCCAGAAGGAAAGCAGAGGGAAAGATCTACTTCTTGGGAAATGACAGCATTTGTACTATGATCAAACAAGTGGAGCAGAATTGGCAGAGAAACAGAGGAAATGGGAATAGCATATTTTTTGATTATGGATGGGTCTATGAAACAATGAGAAGAGCCAGAATTGATCAATGCAGAAACAGTATCAACAGAATAATCAAGAAGAGTTACAGATGGAAGTAAAGAATTGGGACTAGAGAGAGTGGACATGTTGAGTCAGATGTCCAGTTGCACACAGTTGGGATCAATGCTTCCTCCAGGCTGTGCAAGCTCCCTGGAGGAGTGGACTAATTTTTTGGCTCTGCCTTCTCCACAGGCAGAGGAGGCAGAGTTCCAGCCATAGCTGCATGGGCTTTGGCTGTGTGAGAGGTAGACTTGGGACAGTCCTTGGCAGAGTGGCCAGCCTTGCCACAGAAGAGGCAGAGGTTGTTTTTCATCCTGCACTGTTGTTCAGCAGAGGTGAGTTTGCCATCCTTGCCCAGAAGATGGGCAATATTGGACTTGGGCAGGTCCTTCTGTTTACCCTTGCCCTTGGCATCAGACCTTGGAGCAGAGGTGGAGGACAATGATTTAGGCTTGTTGTTGGAGTTGGAGGATTGTGACTTGTTGGTGGCAGACTTGGTGGTGTGCGAGACCTCTGCTTTACACTCCCAGTAGCACACATTGATGGTCTGAGCAAGTTCACAGAGTTGTGTGGGGGTAGAAGGTTTTCTGACATGAGCAATCTCATCCTTGATGTGGTCTGGAAGTCTTCTATAAAAGCAGTGGCAGAGTGCACCAACACTGTAGTCTTTGACCTGTGAAGCCCAGCAATTGAACTCCATGACATATTTAGTAATTCTAGAGCCATCCTTCATAGTAAGGTTCTTGAGTTGTTGGATGGCATCTGTGATGGCATCATGTGGACCAAAATTAGTTGTGAGCTCTTGTAAGAACTTGTGATAGTTATCCATCCAGAGCAGATAGTCATAATTGTCAGGGTTTAGTAGGTCTGGCTCAAACTAAGCCAGAGCCATACCATTAAGATAAGACTGAGTGAAGGTAACCTTTGCCCTGTCAGAGTGGAATGCACAAGGGTGGTCTTGAAAGTTTAACTCACATTGTATGAGGAACTCACAGAGTTTCTTAGGGTTGGAGCCATCAAAGGTGTCAGGCTCGTGGACTTTGGTTTTTGGAGTGGAGTCCCCAGTGCACAAGTGCATGGACAGCTCTAGCAAGAGCTATAAGGGGATCCTCTGGTGGCTCAGCCAGGTCTTCAGCAATAACCCTGTCACTGCTGCCCCCACCATTGGGATCACCATCAGGATAATCAGGGTTGGGGTTGGGTCCATCATCTTGGTTACAAGGAGATGGAGTATGGAAGTTTGTTGGGTGGAGGTCAGAGCAACCAGCTTGCAAAGTGCTTTTGCCTTCAGCATGGGAGCAGTGTTGAGTGGAGAAGGATTGGAATTGTTCAATGACAGAAGGGAGTTGACATGGATTAGCTAGCACTGTAGTGAGGTTCTCAGTGACCTCTCTCTGGGATTGAGCTTGAGTTCTCATAACAGTGTAAGTTTTTTGGGGAGACAGAGAATGAGATCATACAAGTGTGAGTATGAATATACTGTCAAGTCTGGGCCTACTCTGACCAACTCCAATGCCAGACAAGGTCTGGGGAGAGGTTCAGAAGCAAGTACAACAGAAAGAGCAGAACTCCAACTGGCAGAGTGTTGGCAGGAACAAAGTCCACTGAGATAAAGGCAGAGCAAAGTGATGGCATTGGGTTTAGCTCATGCGCTACCCCCTTGCATGATCTCAGCCCTCATATTTCAGAGGGAGAGTACAGATGGACAGTCAGAGGTAACTCCAACAGGCAGGAGACAGAGACAGAGGGAGTAGGAACTAAGTTGATATTCATACTGAAGAACAGCAGAGTACAATACATGCTTTTATACTACTACAGAGGTACAGTAATCAGAGTCAGAACTGACATACAGAGACTTGTAAAATATCAAGTAAAACCTCCTAGACAATGAATGAAGGGTAGATGGAGGACACACAAACAGGTAACACAGAACATCCCAAAGAGGAAACAGTCCAGGCACTGGACCATGTGGTGTGCATGCTGCAGAGTACCTGATCATGCACTGTCAGGGAGAAGTCTGAAGGGTAGTCACATGACTCCTCAGAGAACAACCCACATGGTCTGGTAGGAGAGCAGTACAAGTCCAACAGCAGTCAGAGTGGAGGTGACTCATAAATGTCAGGGGATGGGTGGAGTTGGTGCAGAGTGAGTGAATGACTGGCAGAAAGGGGTGCAGAGTGAGTGAGGACCTAGGACAAATGCACAGTCATGACACATTGGCTGTGTGTGAAGGTGGAAGATGAAGAGGCAGAAAAAAAGGTATGCCTGCTGCCATCTCTTTTGGCTTAGTTCAATTCTATGTTCAGTCAGCAAATCTTTGCTGTCCCACAGTAACTCCTGTTACTCATCATTTTTCTTTCAGATATGATTCCCTGCATGAAGCCTGGCTGCCATCAATGGTTCAGAAATAAGTCAGGCCTAGCCCAGCATGTCAACATATACCACCCAGTCTTTCTGCTTATCAACATCCCCATGCCAGTAGAACAGCCAGATCAGGCACTATCGCTTGAAGTGGAACAATTCCAGTTCCAACTGGACAACAACTATAGTGACCCATCCACAAACCCTTTGAATCCAACCCCTCTGGCAGAATTTGGTGGACCAGGCAACAAGTATGATCGGAACTATCACCCAAACCTCACCAGTATGCAGTATGGGTGAAAAAATTAAATATTTACTGATGTATTATTCAACAGGGCAGCCTTGTGATTCATCTGGAAACCCCCTCCCAGTTGGACAGCCATCCCTGGAAACTCCTTCTGAAAAGCAACCTAACAATTGGTCACCATATTCCAGTTGTTTGGAGTTCAAGCTAACTGACTTTCTGTTCACCCACAGCCAAATGTCTGCTGCCAATATAAGTGAGTTGCTAGATCTCTGGAATGCGATGCTGCTCAGTGCTGGCAGCCAGCTGGTCTTCAAGGATAGTGCTGAAATGTACAAGATGATTGATTGCACTATACTCAGTGATGTACAGTGGGAGAATTATACTGGTGAATGACCAACTGATAATGTGCCATCATGGATGAACACTGCATACAATATTTGGTTCCAGGACCCTTGTGACATTATTTGTGATATGCTTTCCTGACCCAATTTTTCAGGTGACATGGATTGCCAGCTGTTTCAGGAATATGAGAGTGCAATGAAAAAGAGACAATGGGAAGATTTCAAGTCTGGTGATTGGGCATGGACACAAGTGGTGCATCAGTTATCTTCTATGTCTCTGAGTGCTGTACTAATGGCATGCAAATAACAAGATATAATTTCTCATGATTCAACCATGCATGGGTCTACCTTCATTCCAATCATCCTTGGCAGTGACAAGATGACCATGTCAGTTGTAACCGGTCGAAATGACTACTATCCCCTCTACCTTTTGATAGGTAACATAAGCAACAAAGTTTGTTGTGCTCATTGCAATAGTGTTGCTCTCAGAGCTTTCCTTGCAATCCCACATAGTAAGTGCATCTGATAGATACCTAGGAAAGTAATTGCGCTAATGAGAGATATACTTGTAGTGGACAAAGAACATGTGCCCACTGATGCATTCTGACAATTCTGCTGCCAACTCTTTCATGCATCACTCACATATATCCTTCACAATCTCAAGCCTGCAATGACCAAACCAACTGTTATGCAGTTTGGTGATGGACACTATCACTGCATCACTTTTGGACTTGTTGGAGTTTATCACTTTTACCTTAGTTGTGGTTCACCGAGCACAGCATTACATAATCCAAAAGCGGACACTTAGCAGTTTATTTTTTCCTTACTGCACCTCAGCTTCAACCAACTTGAAGTCTGAGGTGGGACTCCTTCCATTCATTATATTGGAACACTTACTTACCTACCTACAGTATATTCCTCTCCATAGGTAGTTAATTGTTTAGCTTCAACCAACTTGAAGTCTGAGTATATTCCTCTCCATAGACTTGACAATCCTGCAGCTCGTCATCCTCCAAAAGGACTCAGCCCTTGCATTGCCAATTACAAGGAACAAGTCCTTCTGGCATGTATTGTGCAAGGGTGGTGTGCAAAGTATGTTTTTCTACTTTCCAACCTTTACTATCAACTAACTAGAATCTCAGATGTCTTGCAATGAGGCAGGAACTCAATAGTGATGTGCTTTATCAGAGTCATGAACATGCAGAAGCACTAATTGAGGAGTTTGATCTCAAGACCTTATGGGATGCATATGGCATTGTGGGTGATATAATTGTATGTATTGTTTCACTTAGATTCTACTGTGCCTGTGTCCTGAAAACCAATTTCAGCCATTCACCAGTCACTTTCCCCATGCCAACATATACCAACTCATTTCCCCTGACATACTACACCAGATCATCAAAGAGATGTTCAAGGATCATTTGGTCAAGTGGGTCAAAAGCTATTTGAAGACTGTGCATGGCACAACAAAGGCAAATGCAATCTTAGATGATATTGACCAGAGGTACATCTGCTTTAATTTACATCTCTTTCTTTCCTCATGTAGGATACCTTAGAATCATGGCCATCACACCTTTCACAGGGCTCTGTCACTTTCCTGAGGGCCATCATTTCAAGCAGTGGACCAGTAATGACTCAAAGGTGCTAATGAAGGTAATTTTAGATCAGTTTGTTTATACAGTCTGTCCTTAACATTTGACATGTAGGTGTATCTACCTGCCATTGAGGGGCATGTGCCAACTGAGATTGTGTGAACATTTTGCACTTTGTTGGAGTTCACATAGCTTGTCCATTGCAATGTCCTCATTGAAGAAACCTTGGTTGCAGTTCAAGATACCATCAACCACTTTCACAAGTACTGGGAAATATTTTGCCAATCAGGTACCATTCAAACCTTTTCCTTACCACATCAGCATGCCATGAAGCACTACCCTGATCTTATACATTTATTCAGGGTGCTGAATGGACTTTGCACATCAATTACTGAATCAAAGCATATTGATGCTGTGAAGGACCCACACCAGCAGACCAATTGTAACAAGCTGCTGGGCCAAATGCTCATTATCAATCAGTGCTTAGATAAGTTGGCAGCCTCTTGAAGGGATTTCAACAAATGAGGGATGCTAGAGGGAAACTGCCTCATGGCAACTATGCAGCTCCTTTTGACTCAAGGTCAGTCACTAGATGATCATATTGATTTTCATTGTATTCACATGAAGTAAGCAGATGGCAGAGAGAATGGTGGTACATCACAAGCCCTAGATTCTGGTCCCTGTAATGAAGACAATGGTGAGGCTGTGGACTGCCCAACATCCATAGAGGCACATGTTGAACCTGCTTGCACCACCTGTACATACCTTATTAACCTCAGTAGTGCAGTGGCTCACAACATCAACCTCTTGTGTTCAGAAATGAAGCAGGCCAAAACCATGACAGATCTTGCAATAGAGCTCAGCCTATTGCATCTCCCTATCATTTTGGAGGAGTTCCTGCTTCAACAAGCCAATGCTGATAACTACCATGATCTCTGTGACATCCCACTATCTGAGCACCCTGTCTATGGAAACAAAATCACTGTCATTAATTCTGCAGTTGCACTATTCTATGTGCCAAGTGATATCAGTGGTATTGGTGGCATGCAGTGTGAGTATATCTGCTCATGTCATTCATGGAAGAATGGGCCACCCTGGTATGACTGTGCATTTGTGAATACTAATCCAGGGCTGAAGGGGATGCATGGTTTGGATGTTGTGCATATCCTGGGGTTTTTTCCTTCATTTCCCAAAGCAAGTGTTACCCATGTGCAGTAGTGCAGTGGTTTGACTGTGTCACCAAGATACAGATACAGGGATGTGGATCATATGCCTGGCCCTTACTGCAAATCGTTACCCAGCCATCACTGTCATACACATAGACACCATATATTGTGTGGCACACCTTGTTCCCTTGTATGGCACCCACCCCATTCCCAGAACCATAAAGCTGCATCATTCTTATGACATATTTACCACTGTCTACATGAACAGATTTATTGATCATCATGCATTTTTGCTTTTATCAGATTCATACTTGTAGCATACTTGATTTTATGCTCAAATTCTATAGTAACTTGGCTGCTTGGGATGCTTATCTACTTGAGTTGCACTTAAACATTCTTCAAGTTACTTAGTGACCATGAATGCTTGACAATGTGGGTACTTGACATGCTTATGCTACTTACATGCTTGACAGGTGCTGCTAAGTGGTCAAGGATGGTTAAGCAGACTCATGATTTGCTGTTGAAGGGACAAGGGGTAAGCAAAGATACTGGCAGTGATACATAACCTGTCAAAAAATTGAAGCATGGGAAAAAAGGCCAGTTTGTCTAAGGTTTGTCTAAGGTTTGTCAGAGGTTCGTCTGCTGGCCACTTATGTAACCCTGTCACTTGTTGACAATGCATGCTTGGCAATGTGGGTGCTTGGCATGCTTATGCTACTTACATGCTTGACAGGTGCTGCTAAGTGGTCAAGCACAGTTAAGCAGACTCATGATTTGCTGATGCTACTCAGAAACAACCCTTCAGAAAGCTGTACTACTGGCATAATCATTTATACCAAGATCTGCTCAGTCACCTCATCTCCTTGGAGGTGGAGTACCTCCTGCCATAGAGTTGTTGATGAGGCACTCTAAACTGCTATTTGTTGAACAGACTATATCGCAATTTGCTTTGTTCCAATAATCATCTGTTGTCCGTAGAGATTTGTGCTTCACAATGAGCTCCTCTGGCCACCTGATCCCGCTCATGCTCATTCTAAGTTTATCCCTGTTCCGCCTCCATTGGTCCACCATTTCAAGTTCCCACTTGAAGTGAGTGAGAATGAGAACATTGGGAATGCGTTCTTTGAATGTACTGTCGATGAGTTCGAAATCCGCTTTGTTACTTCTGTCGGCCTTCTGCTACTGCTATCCTATGGTCAGGGAATACAGAAACAAATAACCCTGTTTATCGGGGCGATATCAGGTGGTATCATGGACAACATTCGAAACAAACTACTGGGCGTATGTCCATTGAAGATGGTGTCGCCACCCGCTAATCTGTGTGCGACCAGGCACATGTTCCGATGCAGGGGTTCAATCGCTCCAGCCAACAAACACCAGGGCTTTGGGTTCGTCGACTACGAGGATCCAGATTTGCCAATCAGGTGCGTCGACCTGCTCAATGGCATCGAGTTACCAGCGCGCAAAGATGGCTGCGCAAACAACAAACTGCTGGTGTCCCCATCAATCTCCTCTTGACCCATTTTAAGCCTATACCTCTATGAGGATTTGCAGATCAAAGCTGATGAAATTCATGGATGCTTGTTCTGCACAGAAAATGAAGGCTGAACTATCTCGTATCCCATCCGCGCTCCTGTGCCAATGCTAAGTGGTTTCAGACTGGCGATGCAGAAGTGCAAGAGAGCCTCCGAAGAATCTTCTTCCTTGTCAAAGATGTCAACCGCAGCTCACAGGACGCCCCAACCACTGGTCAGATCGACGAAGAGCACTACGTCATCCTGTCTCACCTCTATGACCCCCAGGAGCCATATCTACCAGAGGGTCAGTGGGGCCTTGTCATCTCCGAGATCGCTTGATTCGGAGAATGTGAGAAAGTCAGGGAAGTCAGAGAGAACATACCACATATACTGTCTTCGACCGCTACCACACCGAGTGGACCCAAAATGAGGGAGTGGGGAAAGCCACTGTAACAGCCAGCATTGATATCCATCGGTGGGAAAGGCCAACAGCCACCAAAAAAAAGTGGGCAAACTCGCAGTAAACCGGTCGGATTCGTAAAGGTGGAAGACGCAGGGGCAGCTACTGGCTTGTTGAGTACTGGACTTACGACGGATGAAGAGCTCCGAAAGGAGCGGAGGGAAGCCAAGAGACGAGATGAAGAGATCTTGTCCAAAAACGTGAGTTCTCAGATAGATTCATCATGCTTTGACGCATTCTGACTTTTTCAGTATGAGCGTTTGTACGAACCTCAAGAGTGAGCTCGTATTGCAGCCCTTGAATGGACAATTTCACTACAGAACGCCAACAAAGAAGCCGAAGAATGTGATTGGGTGGAAATGCAAGTACAACTGGATGACTGGGATGACGACGAGAGCGATTAGCTGTACTCCGTAGACAGGCACACCATTCGTTTGAACTATCACATACATCACTTACGATTTGTATGCACATATCCCAGGGTACGATGGCGACAAGCCCAGTCATGTCAACTGGTCGCAGAAGAAGCTGCAGACGGCAGTCCCGTGGTTACGAAGAGCGTGAAGCAGAGAACCTCCATATCAAATCCGCAAAGTTTCTTCACCCGTCAAATGCAAGATATGCAAGTGCTCGCAAAGAAACCATGCAAAGCGAGGGTGTTGCTCGACGACGGTGCACCTGTCGAACTCAACGTCTTGCTGCTCGGTCCTGAACCTGTCAAAAAACCAGAGCTGCATGCTCAGAAGGAAGTCGTCAGGGGGGCAGCGACCATATTGGGCAGGAAAAAGGGGAGGAAGGAGGGACAAAGATGCGGAAGGTGCCGTTAGAGGTGTCCCAGCTCAACCGCCCCCCGACATATCACGTGACATCACGTGACATGACGGCGGTAACCCACATTAGGAATGTCGGAAGCATAAGTGTGGAGGAGGCAGTAAAAAATCTATTTTACAATAGCCCTCCGGTCACTCCTGGACACAGGGCACTTCTGCATGTGATTCACATTATTATTAAAATGCAGATGCTACACTAGGGAAATGTTTAAGTGGGGTGGAAGGGAAGTTTATGTGACTGTTTGTTTTATGAGGTGATGCTGTTTACAAAGGTAACACATAACTACTTGTTTCTGTAGGTTTTATGTTGAGTGGTAGATGTCATATCTGTTCAAAGGCATCAGTTAATGGATTATGGGGTGGGAGAGGGTGGCATATGAGCAGTTGTTTATAATGTGGAGGATGGGTGGGGCATGTAATGATGGAGAGCCATGAACATGCCCTCTGCTAGTGGAACACATACACCAGCAAAGGACAGGAAACTGTACAATGATGATTGTGTAGCACATCAACACACATCACTCAAAGCAAGTTACTATGCAGAACCAAATTGTGACAACTGGCAATAGCTCTAAGTTGCTTCAACATCAAATATAGATACTGTTCAACCAGCTTGCAAATGGAGTCTGCACAACATACCAGCATGGAGCCTTCAAGGTCTGCTGACCCGGCACAAAAATCATCATACACAGTGACCTTGTTTACAAGGTCACTGCACCCCAAAATTCATAATGCTTTTTTGGTCAGCTGTGAATATCATAAATTGGGTCTCAGCTCTGTACTCAGCAGTCCTGCAACTCCGAAGTATTGCCATGGGCATCATCGGGAGGTGCTCGCATGGGTGGACCTTGCCTGACCCTCCTTCAATGTCTTGTGTTGGGGGCATGTGTCCAAGGTGAGCACCTGCATTCTCCAAGTGAGCCTATCTCATCACCCTGGCTTATTGCAGGTCGCATTGATGCCCCCCCCTTATGTGCGACAAGAGGGGGCCCCCCTCTGCACATGGGTATGTATTCGTTCTCCCCTGCAGCCCTCCACATTGCAGCCATCTCGAAATTCCACCCACAATGAACAGTGTCTCATGAGAAAGCCCACCATTTATGCTCTGTGACAGATGGAGGCTGTATGTGGGTCGATCCTGAGATGTTTCCACATGTCAGCATCTCACAGCCTGAATTTTTCGGACATCTGGGCTTCCTGGACCTACACTGGACTTTGGGAGGTGTGGTCTGTGGGTTGGAGACCACATTCCAACACCCACACATGCTCATGATTGATGACCAGTTGTAGATTGGCTCACATATGTCTGAGCTCATTTCACTGACTGTGCTCCAGAGGTTTGCTCCTTGAAAGAAGGAGTGCCATTGTAGGGGTAGAAGATGAGTCTGGCTGAGTTTTTTTCACTTGCAAGCAACACAAGTGATGGTATGTGTGACATCCATTCATACTGTGCCTATCACTGACAGTGGCATAGCATTATTGGGGATGGTTGGAGGGTGGGGTGGATGGTCATGGGTCTTCATTGAATTTGAAAGTGGGATGACCTTGGTGTGGTGGATGTACTTGAGTTTTTACATGTGGTGTAACCCATTGCTGTATGGACTTATGTCGCCTTGTCTGATATGATATTAAAGATTTTGGTTCAAGTGCACCTCATGTCATATATCCACACTGTACAATAAGATGCCTTTGTGTCTACTGTGATATTCAGCATTACATATCATCCCCCTGTATTCCCCCTCTATGCTACTTACATCTGTGGGTAATCATTTTTAGGCAGAGATGGCATGGATCCCACTGATGGACACACCCTGTGAGCATTTTTCGACACCCTGTTGCCCAAGCAGCCAATGCCACTCAATTTGATCCTGCACCCTTGCTTCAGTAGATTCACTGGGGCTGCAACTGGCTCTTGCAAGATAACCATGTCATGAACCACTGCCATGAAAACAGATTTCTTGTCACCACTGATTGAGTAGTGAACCAGTGCAAAGTGCACACAAATGATGGTGCTGGAGAGCTTGTGAATGTAATCTGATGGGTCAATACTCTCACTGTTGAGATTGAAGACTGGAAGGGGTGAAATAATGTGAGCCTCTGCAGCCTGCACCAGTGCCCCTCTCAGGTGCTCCTGCACTGGCCACTCCATCATTCTCATCTCTGTTGACTATGTCAGCATCAAGCTTCCAGGCCAGAGACTTCATCTCACCATCATCAACTGCTGTTTCAGGATCGGTGTCCATATTTTTGCACTGGAGATTGGTCTCAGAGTTGTGTATCTAGCAAATCAAGCAAGCATACCATGAAGAGCATGTGATTGAGACAAATGCATGCCTGTCCATGATTTTCCCACATGCATGACAGCACAGTCTCACCCTTTCATAATGGAATGAGCTTCTCTAAGGCCTGCAGATTAGCCATGATGGCTGGGAAGTCTTGTCAGCTTGCACCATATATAGAATTGCACTGAACAGTGATTAGGTTGCATGACAGCTTCGTGTCAACAAACCCCTTGTTGTATGCATTTGATGGAAAAAATCCACCCTCTGGTCCCATAAAAAATGCCTTACAGTTGATCTCAATGGTGCCACTGAGGATCATCTCAACAATGTCCTCCCCACTCCCTTTGACAACTGTGACATTGCCAGATGAGCCCCCCATGAAAAACTCTCCTCAACTGGCAATATTCATTGTGGCCACATAGAATGCCACATCACTCTGCTTGAGATCTTCCACTATTTTGGCTAGTGCAGGTGGCATGCTGCTCTCTGTGGTGACCTCTGTCATGTCATCTACAGGATTCAAAACTGTGGAATCATCAATGGCTGAGATGTTGGACTGCACATGGGCACCATTGATAGGTTCTGTGCCAGATGTCATGGTCAATGACAGTAACAAAGGCTTCAGAAATACCCTTAAGACATGAGGTTGTATTTGAGCGATTTCTTTAAAGGGGGTGAGCAGAATATCAATTGATGAGGGGCCTTGGGAAAAAGGGGTTGGGGCGACATATAAGAGATGTGGAATGTCTGTCCTTTGCAAATCTGAGCACAGATGCCTGAGTTGTGGGGATGTCTCACTTGCCAAGAGGTACTCAAGGCCATTCCCTCTGGAACACTGTCACCGAAATTGAGGAAGTGGGCCAATCTCAGTCCTGCAATTCTTCAGCTTCCTGATGACATCAAGGATCGCATTTCTCAGGCAGCAGCTTCCAAAGACAATGCTGTGTTGAAGTGTAAACAGCAAGCCAACACTGAGCAACAGGTGCAGTTGAGAGCAAAGTGTCCAAAACAGGAGGAACCCTGTGTGCCAAAGCCAAGCATCATCAAACACAATGATGTCAATAGTGTTGACATGCACCTTTATATGCAATTGCCATCTGTGCAAGAGATGCAGAGTTGCATTGCAGCTTTCCTTGATGCCACAGGCAATGAGGCTCTCTGACAGGCAATCTGCATTGTCTGTGGTTGGGAAATAATGGTGAAAGATGGTGAGATGCAAGTGGTGAATGACATACCCAACATACAATGACATTTGTGTCCACAGAAAGCCCATCCAGCTCACTCCCTTTGGAATGGTCTTCTGATATTGGGGGCACATGTGGATGATGCCAGTCATGGGTGGGCATGTCACAAATGTCACCGAGCCTTGCATGCAAATTGCTTGCCATGCCTGGCACTCAACAACAACCTATGGCTTGGAGAACCACCTCTTGTTCTGTGCAAACTAACATTTGTCAAAACTCTTCTCATTGCATGGCACTATCCACATTGTTATGTGTTCAAGTTGTACCCAAGGGATGGTTCGTGGTCATTCAACCCTAAACATCTGCAGCAGGCAATGGCCAGTAATGTCACCCTGTATGCAATCAACAGTTCAGCTATCACAGACATGGTGCAGGGATGTATGTTACCTCACACTGTGCGCTCCATGAGCAATGTTCTTGCAATCACATTCGTAGGCACCAAGCAGCTGCCAATGAACTGGCTAAACCAGACCTTCTGTGTCTGACATGATGCAATACACAAGGCACTGCAATGGTTGTGGGAAAACAATAACATCTATGGAGACATTGACATATCAGAACAGCATATTAATGAACTTCTGGTGGACAACACCACTCGTTTCCATTTGTCATCTTTTCACTCATTCAAAAGTGTGATGTGATGTGCTCTGCATGCCTTCAGATGCAATGAAAGGACTTTGAATGGGATGCATTGGTGTTATCATCAATCACTGTCAATGACCTCAAAAAGGCAGAGGTTGAAGAGGCTAGACATCAATGCATAACAAATGCTCGAGTATGCACACTACACCATCATGTGACTTCTGCCAACAGCCATGTCGAGGGCTCTGACAATGCTCACGCTTGATACCACAGTATGATCTGGGGGATGTGTCTTGTGTTCGGTGGGCTGTCACTGTGGCTAACAATCAACCCAGTCAATATTCATGATCCCATCTCGCAGTTGCAAGACTATGTATTTCGCAGACTGGAATTAGATGACATCTGTCTCTTGGCATTTGTCATGGATACATGGGAGGAACAATATACACCTTCACCAGCCAGCCCCCCCTCCTTCTGTGCCCAAACATGGGTGGCCTGTGCATCTGTGATCATACTATTCAGAGGAGCATCCTAAGTGCAAATCACACTGTTGTGTGTGTCGTGCCAGTGAGCACAACACATTACCTCACCTTATAGGAACCTGGTTTCCCCATCCTGATGACAGTAACCTTCATGATTATTTCCTTGCATGTGTATTGGCTTTGTTAAAGCCATGGTGTTGGGCTGCTGACCTCAAGAATGAGGTGGCATCATGGTCTGACATGTTTCAGGAGTTTGAGGTGAATATGGAACCCTGGCACAGGCATGTGGTCGCAGGGATACAATACTGTTATGAGTCCAAAACAGCATGCAAGTCCACCCCCACTGATCACATTGCAGGGCAAAGTTCACAAAGCTTATGAGATGCTCAAGTGCCAGACAAGTTGGGTGGCTTTGGTGATTGGGAGGCTCATGAGAGTCTTGCACTGATGGAGGATGACCTTGACAACTTCTGCAAAGAACAGATGTCTTCCCAGGAACAGAAGCATGCGAAAGAGGCAATTGACATTGGCACTCACAAAGGCATCTTCTCCATCATTTTGTCTCTCTCTCATGAACATTCCACCTCTTTTCATATTGCTTCTGTACATGACCGGGAGCTCCTTGTTCTGTGGCAGAAGGAGATGGAGACAATGGTAGCCAAATCCAGGGGGACACTGCCCACTTTGCCATCTGATCCTGAGAGAGACATTGGCAGCATGGACACCAATGATGGTGTGCTCCTTGCTGATAGTGGTGGTACTTACCTGCCTGCACAACTTGTTGAGGATTCAACTGCACTGCATCCCACTAACCCTGCTGATCTGTTACATGACCAACGCCGCACATATGACATCATTGACTGGCACTTGGAGGAGTTCTTGACAGGATGTAATCCAGATCAACTGCATATGGTCATACCTGAGGAGGGTGGTGTTGGTAAATTTAAAACAATTCAAACCATCACTGAGAACTTCACACAATGAGGGGTCGCAGGGATGCTGGTTAAGGCTGCCTACACAGGCATTGCAGCATCTGTTATTGATGGCAAGACATTGCACTTCATAGGTTGGTTGTGTTTTTGTCTGCACTATATTACTCTCCACTGAGCATGACTTCATCTCATTAGGCATGGTCCCACTCAATGGCAGAAGACAATCAGCGCAGACTCTGAAGGCATTGGAGTCATATTGGTGAGACAAACACTATTTGATCATTGACAAAATCTCCATGGTTTCGCAGGAGTTCCTTGCCAAGCTTTCAAACATTGTCTGTTGTGCTAGGTCTGCCTGTACAGGCTCTGCATCTGAGGAGCCATTTGGCAGGTTGAATGTCATCCTTGTTGGAGATTTCCATCAATTTCCTCCAGTGGCCTCAAAAGCATCTGCTCCTCTATACTGGCCTTGCAATCTTACTAAGGACACAGAGGATCAGGTGATCAGATGTCAGATCTTTGAACAGTTTGATATTGTCATATGGCTCAAGACTCAAGTGCAGGTAACTGATGCCAGTTGGATGGATCTGTTGCATCATGTGCATCATGGTAACTGCAGAGAGGATCACTTGCCTATGCTTCAGGGGCTCATGCTCACTGACCCTCATTGTCCACCTACTGATTTCTTGCAGGCACCTTGGAGAGATGCTGTACTGGTCACACTGTGACATGCTGTGCATATGTGTTGGAATTCAATGTGCATCCTATCTCATTCAGGGGACCACAGGACCTATCTTATCATTTGCCCTGCTTGGGATTCCATTGCCGGGCATCCTCTGACATTACCCAAGAAATTTACTGTGGCTTCTAAACCAAAGACAGGGTGTGCATGCAACAGACAGGAACATGCTGGGCTGTCTGATGAGATTGAGCTTTCCATCAGAATGGAGGTGATGGTCACCTTTAACATCTCAACTGACCTAGACATGGCGAATGGTGTGCAAGGTCATATTGTGGACATTGTCCTTGACCCCAGAGAAAGTGTGCAGCCTTCCCCATCTCATCAAATTGTGTTGCAGTATCCACCTGCCTTTGTCCTCTTGGAGATAAAGCACACTAAGGCAGAGTCTCTCCCTGGTCTGCTGATGGGTGTGCTGCCCATCATGCCTCTTTCAAGAACATTCACCATCACAATGACTTCAGGCTGCAAGTGTACTGTGATGCACATGCAACTGCCTATCACCCCTGCATTCGCTTTCACTGATTACCATGCACAAGCACAGATAATCGAGTATTGCATTGTTGACATTGGTTCACCACCTACTGGCAAAATTACCCCATTCCATGCCCATGTTGCTCTCTCCTGTAGCCATGGTTGGGAAAACATTTGACTGCTATGAAAGTTTGATGAACAGCTGTTTACACAACACCCTTGTGAACACTTGCACAATGAAGATTGGCAGTTGGAGAGGTTGGAGTGTGCAACTGAGGCTTGGTGGAATCTTATTGACAGTAGCTCAGATACATATTGACGAGGTGCAGTGTCTCCACTGCTTGTGTGATGTTCCTTCTATATCCCGAATCTTCTACCTACTGAGACATACATTAGAATGTGTGGAAGTGCAATCACTCCTGTCTGTAGTCTTCTATTTACAAGGAGATATGTTATAAGGCATTGTGGGGTTGAATATTGGGCTCAGGTGTGGGTGCAGTAAACAAGGTGCCTGCCATGCAAAACAGCCTTATTCTAGTAACACACTCAAATGCATATTCTTGCTGCAGGAACTCATAAGAGATCACAGAACCATCACTGACTCCAGTAACATCAATATACAAGCAGTGCATGCCACTGTCCATGAGATGTGCACAATCTCCCATGTGCCCCCATGTAGTCTGCTAGATGCAATGTACATCAACAAAATCCCTATCATGAATTGAGTTAACTGTTGGAGATATATTCTCCCCTGTGTTCTGCTCACTTTGGTGCGATGTTTAGGTGCTTACATAATCACCTTAGAGCGCACATTTTACAGTAGTTTATTCACTGTTCTCTCAGTAGCTTGTTGCACTACTGAGGATACCTACAGCATCCTTCAAAAGGTTATGAGCCCCGCCTAGCGCGGAAAATTTTATTGTAGGCCCACTCAGTGTGCAAAGTCCGAAAACAACTACTTGACTCTGCTACAAAGTTTCCAGAACACTCTATACCCTCAAGGCTATTGGATAAAGCATGGACGACCTACCAGAGCTCGCAGATGATGGACATAACTGGACAGCTTATGGCAGCTGGGTCCTAAATGCCATTGCAGACGAAGGCTTGATAGGGTTCCTACTCGGGTCTGAAACACGACCTATGCATCCAGCACAGCTGAAAGGTCGAGGTGAAGGCTGGACACCTCAGACCAACAAGGAACGAGACGAGGTCGCAGCATGGCAAACCTCAGATGAGTTCTGGCACAAGCAGAGCTCGAAGGTCAATCTTCTATTGATCTTCGGAATTTCGGACTACATATTCTCATTCATACTCCATCTAAAAACACCCCTCGAGAAGTTCACCTACCTCGAGAAGCACTATGGCTCAGTTACGAGACCAGAAAGCTGGAAAACGACTGAGGAGGACGCGCAAAGTGACGACTTGCAAAATTGCCACTCACCCGTACTACACGAGGCTGAAGCAACCTCTCAGCAAACCAGTGGCAGCCTTCTCGGCCAGTCGGCTACTCATGACAACAAAAAGGACAGCACAGAGCTGTCACTAGAGACTGTAGAAGTCACGCCTAGTCAGTGCAGACAAGTCGAAGCGTCAAGCATCGACATACCTACAGCAGAGGTCGAACACGCCCTGAATGGGCACTCGGAGCTGGAGCTGGAGGGAGTGCCATGCGAAGCAGGCAGCGGCTCAATGGATGAACTTGGAGATGCAAACCCTAAGATGTCAAGTGGCCGTACAGACGAGACCAGCACTACAGGCACGCGCAGTCAACTCGTCATTGCCAACGTGACAAGGGATTTACATCTACTCAAACCCGGCAGCGAGACTTTCGATCTCGCAATCAATTCTACTAATCTCGAGAACACTTATGCCATCAAAACTACTTCGCAGATGCCTGTCAATCACGATCAGCACATCCAAACGTGCAGCAGTCTGATCACCAACGTACCTGACCCTCCATGCATCCATGTTGCAGCTCCAAACCCATTCATTGGACAATCTGACCAAGTCTTTGGTACTTCGAACACAGAAAGGAAGTTAGCGCGAGCGCAAACGGTCAGCAATGGAGAAATTACCATACCGCATCCTCACGAAGCCCAAATGGCCCTTTCGGATCAGGCAGCGCTCACTAACGAGCCAAAATGCCTCAAAGATCTGCAAGAGGCCGAGCGACCCCACCCCGAACGAGATCGCGCGCCTGCAGTGCGACAAGAGACCTGCAAAGGTCAGTGCACATGGAATGTCTCAATTGATGAGACCGGGGGTCTAGGCAAGCACGGCGGGGGTACCTCCCACTGGGAGGATAGTCGAGATGGTGGGAGAGCATCGACGAAGCTGAAGATAAGAGCAATCAGCGTTCGAACGGCCGAGATACGAGATGGCTCACCAAATGTAGTTTTTCGGCCACAGGAAGCCGACGACGAGCGCTACAGTAGCGGGAAGGACAGCACAACAAGCAGCAATGCCGTCTGCTCGAACGGAGCAACAAAGAAGCTGCTGGCTGACATCCGAAGTCAGAACGTTCGAAAACAAGAGGTAGAACGGCCGAACCACTTACCTGCACCACCCGAACCCCCTCTGGACCTAATCGCGCATATCCGTATACCATACAGGGCTCGACGTCGATGCGGCAGGATCAAAGTAGATCTACGAAGCGTCAGCGAAGCTCGCACGAATGGAAACGCACACCAGGCAACTGGTATTACCTTCGAAACCACTCGAGTTACCTTATGGAGGCCCTCGCGACCTCTCAAGATTCCTCTGGACGTTGCTAACGCCTACCTATGGCAGGGGGTGCGCCCTATATCGATGCGCGCCATCGACGGCCCTCACGAACGTCGTACAACGCTCGCACAGCGATGTGGCAAAGTCACGACGCGCGCACGAGTGGCGTATTACCAAAACGGGAACGACGCGCAAGCACAGCCACGACGCGCACCTCACACTACGGACTCGAAGCTCAATACACGAATTACACTCGTTTAATTGGAGTATTTGGTACACATTCTTTTGAGTTCTGTTTTCTGCTATTCTACTTGTTCACACAGTGGAGCTTATGGGGGTGTGTTGGAGATATATTCTCCCCTGTGTTCGGCTCACTTTGTCGCGATGTTTGGGTGCTTACATAATCACCTTAGAGCGCACATTTTACAGTAGTTTATTCACTGTTCCCTCAGTAGCTTGTTGCACTACTGAGGGTAAGCTCACTTTCACTACCAGTATTATACTTACTGATGTCCTGTAGATACCTACAGGTTAGTCTAATACATAAGTAGCTTGTTGCACTACTGAGGATACCTACAGCATCCTTCAAAATTAACCCCAGAGTTCCCACCCCCAACACGTGACAAGAGGTTGGCCTGGCATGATCAACCCTGACAAAGAGTTTACAGACCTGGGCCTAATGGCGTCCAGGAGCAGAGTGATGCACTCCATATGTGTGCCATAATAGATGTGAGTTGCGCCCGTGTCTCTCACTTTTTTTCAGGATGGTAGTACTCAATGATAGCTTCCTGTTGATCATAGGCTCTTTCTAACAGGCAAAGCGGTTCCAGAGTTATTTGCATTTTTGTGGGAAGGGCAACCCTGGAGGTCTTGTCATTGTATCTCGTGTGCCGTCGCGCCGTTTCTCTCGCGTTTCGAATCTTTCGTTCCCCTTGCTGAGTCCTCACTGGGGATTCCTCCTTTGTCCAATTCCGTGCAGTCATTATAGAGATATGTCCGTTTTTGTGTTAGGAGTGCTGTGCGATGCTTTTGCACATACCTGGTGACCGGCTGATCAAGTTGCTGCAGTTCCATTTTCTCTGCACTTGTCTAGGTGTCCCCTATCACCACCCAGTGTTTTGTGCTGATCCCCCCAGCCGTTGTCATTCAGGCGACTCTCCTCTCCCCACCTTTGAGGACTTGAGATAGTATCTCACGCATTTCTCCGCCGTTCCTCTCGCCTTTTGGGCAGTTTTTCCCCCTCGCTGAACCCCTCCTGGGGATGCCTCGTTTATCTAGTTCCGCACAGCCGTTGTCGAGATATGCCCGTTTTCGTATTTAGAGGGTGGTGAGGCAACTTTGGGTATGGCTCTGGATTGAGTGGTCGAGATGGCGTGGCCCCTTTTTCTTCGTGTACGTCTGCGGGTGCCCTACCATCTCCTAGATTTTGGTGTCAATCCCCCTGGCTGTTGTCGTTCGGTCTCCCCTCTCCCTCCCCCAGGTGATACCTCACAGGTGCATGTGTAATATCTCCCCCGTTTCGCCGTCGTACTTCTCGCTTTGTCAGAATATGGTACTAATCGATGAGGCCTTTCAAATGATGTATGGTATGTTTCGCTTGCTGCAGTGGATGTAGAAGGATCTCTGGATTTGCAGTTGGAGGCACCTTCAGACGATTTTGCAAATATCTCGCGACAGGATTCGCGGATTCCCTCCGTTCTTTTTTCACCATGTTAGTCGCATTCCCCTCTACTGATTCCCCTCGTTTCACAGCGTTCCGAGCAGTTGTTGTTCGGCGACGTGCACTTGTCCCCCTTCCCCTTCTCATCATTGCCATCTGCCTAGGAACTACCTTTGGGTTGACTGGGGGGAATCAAGATCTCAAGGCCCCCTCAGATGTACGGAGTTGGTTTTCCCTGTGAAGGGATTTGGTTTATGTGCTTTATTTTTGTTGTTTTCCTTTCTGACTTGTGACTACTGTGTTTTAGTACGCATTTTTGCTTGCTTAGTCAGCACCCTCAACACCCAGTAGTACATGTGCATATGTCTTTTTATTGGACAAAAACAATAGATGAATTACAGCCTACCCAGAGATGAGAGACAGTTCGAGCAGGCATTTATGGGCCCAGGACCCAAGATAACAAGGGTTGCATTGTATAAAACATGTGCATGTCAGACTCGGAAGACCAACACTGCCAAAAAGATGCCGCCGGTATGTCACGTGATGTCACGTGACATGTAGGGGGCGGTTGAGCAAGGGAAGCTGTGCCATTGGTCAAACTTGACTCCCAGTGAAAACTCGACATGTCCGGGTGTGGCCAGACATGACCAAATATGAGTTGGAGCAGATGTCGGAATTACACCATGAGGGAACATGTTCCGAAAGAAAACTGGATGATTCTTATATTTGCAAAATGTTGGGGCAGTACTTGGCATGACCATATGTTAGAATTTTTCCACCAAAATAAATTGTCACATTCCAACATATTCTTCAGTGCACACTGCATGCTCATGAAATCTACTCAAATCTCACTAGATATGGTTATTACTGGCTTTGCAGTTTATATGAAATATTGCCATACATGCACCAATATCATTTGCATTGCTATGATAACTAGTACACATTACCCCCCACTGGCTCTCCATGGAGATGACTATGGGAGAGCAGGGAATGATGAGAGCAAGTCTAACATGGGTAAATGAATGCAGAATAAATTAATGAAAATGCCTTGAAAGTGAGACATGTGCAGGGAAATCATTGTGACACAAATGCAAGTGCAGAGACATGAAAGTGAACCAAATGCAAGTGACATGGTATGCCAGTCCGAAGTGATATAGTGATAGCTTGAGTGCTTGAATGTCAGATGAATGCAAGTTGTCCTCAGTAGACAGTGCCATTGCATATAGTCTTTGGGACCCAGCCACCACTTTTAACCCATACTCTGTTAGTGTGAAATTATCATGACTAATGGCTACTTTACCAAACTCACAGCCTTGTCAACATAGGACTCAAATATGACCTCTGTTAGTGGTGAGGGCAGTTGGAAGAAGTAGATGATACCTTGACCTTGTCAGCAGAAAGTGAATTGTAGTATTTCTGGAGGTCCTCCATGGTTCTGTTTGGTTGAATTCTCTTGAGCCATTGAAGTGTGCAGAGGTTTCTGATAATCCAATATGTCAGACCAAAAAATAGTAATGATTTAAACATACCATCTGTTCTTGGTTGGACTAGGTCACACCCTCCTGGGCACCTTCACATTGCCCTTGGTAGACTTGGTGGTCATCAATGGAATCACCAATCCTTCATTCTCTATCTTGCTGCCATTTGGGTCACTTGGGAGCTTGGTAGGGACTCCCAAGCCTTGTTGGCAGCAATTGCCAAGCATGCTCTAAGAAACATTGTCAGAAAAGGTTCCTATTCACATGTATACTCACAGTGAGTTAATTGATATCTCGGTAGGAACAACAGTGACTGGCTCTGGCTCTGGTTGGGGTGTGCATGGCACAGTCTCCTTCTTGTTTGTGCATGTCATTTCCTCTGCAACAGAAGGGAGATGGGATGTGTTGCTAAGAGGCAGAGACAGTAATGCCATTGAGGCTGCACCCTCTGCAATAGATGGAAGATGGGATGTGTCATTGACAGGTGGAGATGGTAATGCCATCAAGGCTGTGCCCTCTGTGATAGATGGAAGATGGGTTGTCTTGCTGACAGGCAGAGATGGTAATGCCATCAAGGCTGCACCCTCTGGAATAGATGGAAGATGGGATGTGTTGCTAAGGGGCAGAGATGGTAACACCATTGAGACTGCACCCTCTGCAATAGATGGAAGATGGGTTGTCTTGCTGACAGGCAGAGACAGTAATGCCATTGAGGCTGTGCCCTCTGTGATAGATGGAAGATGGGTCATCTCACTGACAGGTGGAGATGACAACAATGTTGGAGAGAGGTTTGACACTGTCAAACTGGTGTCATCAATTTTGTGGTCCTCTTAAAAACTGGCTTTCACCATGGTTCATTGAGATTGTATGGAATACACTCACCTTTCATTCTTTTATCCAGTGTTTCTGACTTGACATGAGCTTTGAGGAGTTTCCATTTCTTGTCCTTCTTGTCCATCTCCATGTCCTTGTTTTCATCTTTGCAGTCCTGAGATTTTTTCATCTTCCAATTCCCCTCACTGTCCAAATGGGTCTTCTGCTGTGCCAGGTATGAGCTGCTTGCTAAGTAGTCCAGCTTCCAACCATTCTTTGCAAATCTGAAAAGCAGGAATGCACTCTCCATGAGGTTATGAGTTAATTGCCTACCACTCACACACAACCAACCCCAAGATTTTGGAGCCAGTTTGTGGTTACTAATTCTGCCCACCCCCCTTGAAGTGTCTTTCAGATGGCCTTCACTGTGCTGTCAGATGGTGGATCGCTGTTGTCTTCCTCGAGGAATCCAAGTGTCCTGTGTGTGCTAAGTCGTCCCTCAGATGACTCAAGGAAGGCATTCCAATCGCTTTGATCCCAGAAATGGATTTTCAGATGAGTTTCAGGTGTTGGGTGTGTAAAATTGCTTGGAGATGACTGTGGGACCATCATCATATCAAACCACACTGGATCTGTTTCACATAAGCTGACTGCACCTGCTAGGTGCTGAAATGTGCCCCTGCATCTGTCAATCCAAAGTTAGTAGATGTGTCAGTTAGATGTTACTGTAGAGTATTATTTTTGACAGTCAACTTGAAAACTTGTGACTCAAGTACTTTGTTGTGCTCTTGTAGTACTGCAATCTGCTTCAAGCTGGGATGACTATATGCACCCTAAAACAAAGTGATCAGTCAAACTGACTCAAGAAATGTGTAACTTACACTATGAAATGGGGACAGTGTGGACATGGTTGCCTCACCCACCATTGGCAAAATGCTGAAGTCATTTAATGACTGAGAAGCTATAGTGAGCTGGCTGTATTGTTGGGGTGTCCACTTGACCAAAGTTGTTTAGATGCATCATTTGAGTTCCCATCATTCCCATTGTGTGCAGAGTCATGCTTGGATGCATCAGGCGATGTAATGGGAAGACGAGCAGTTGGTAGACTGCAGAAGGCCTGTACATGGATGTGTGACACCCACATAGTCATGTGCCCAGGTTTAGTGTCCCTTAATCTTCACCATGTCATCTGAGTCCCTGACACACATCCTCGATGCAGTGCAGGATGTTATATACCTTGAGGTCGATGGATTCATGTCTGATTGGAACACCCATTGTTTTACAATTGACATTGCAATGCCTGGCCACAA